TATTGGTGAATGATTGTCAAATAATAATAATAATGAATATAATGAAATGGAATGAACAGGATTTTGTAAATATGATAGTAAGTTAGAAAAGCACTATTTAAACCTAAGGTAATAAGAAAGGTCATGAAATCATAAAAGTCGAAAATGAACGTTTGTCAATTTCGACTTTTATGATTTCATGACCTTTCTTATTACCTTAGGTTTAAATAGTGCTTTTCTAACTTACTATCATATTTACAAAATCCTGTTCATTCCATTTCATTATATTCATTATTATTATTATTTGATAATCATTCACCAATAGTACATTTAATTTTAATTTTACACCATATCATCGTTATTATTTTACAATCATTCTTATTGTTTTAAATTCTTATTGTTGTTGTTTTCAACCTTGAACTTAAGTCTAGACCGCCCCATTCGTTGGTTTATTTTCATATTGCCTCACACACCCTGATTACACTCACTCTTGAAACCTATATTTTCTGTTAACTATATTTATATATATATACACATCATTAAATTAAATTATTTCACCTCATTCTGTCCCATGTTGTTATTGACCATGCATATTAAAAAACTATATGACTATTGTTTCATCCCATCTTATACTTGTTCCACAATACACTTTCTGATATGATTCTAATTCGCCTTTACTGGCTATTGTATGCTTACATTAATGGATTTATAATTGTATAGCCTGAAGAAGAATTTATTGAAAACAATTGTTCGCTCTAAATATTTTGTTCTGAATAAATTATGGGAATATTTAATAACTTGTTTTGCTAACGTCTACGAATCAACTGATCTTAAAATTCCGTAATTAGGATTCACGCCTCCTTCAAAATTTGGATATCTCTTGTTACTACTATCATCCTCATCAGTTAATTGTTTTGATCACTTTGAACGTCTAAATTTCACCACACACACACACACACCACCTATACCTAAAATTGATTAACTAAAATAACCAGTTGATGATTGGTGAAACATTTGGATGTAAAAAAAATAAAACTATTTATTAGTGTAGAGCCAGCCGATGATGATGATGACGAACTAATTGATGAAAAGGAATGCATATTTCTTCGCTCAATTTGTTATTTTTCAAAATATTCTGATTGGTAAGTGAGTTGACCAAAAGACTAGGGTGAGAAAAAGACAACGATGAGTCTTAAAATGATTGCCGAAGCAATCGCAATCAAAAGACTTAAACCAGACTTATGCATACAGAAAGAGAGTGTGATTAACCTCTCACTCCCTTGGTAACTGAATTTTCATTACATTAATTAGCCATCTAATTCAGTGATCTCAACTCACTGAACAAATTTTAATCTCATAAACTGTAACCGCTTTTGTTTCTTGAGTTGCTATGTGAACCTACAAGCTAACACTATTCTGTTAATCAATTTTTTCTGTTTTCTCTCTTACCCCTCCCCCTCTTTTCAACTATAAAAGCGTATAAATTGATGATGAAAACTTAAACTAAAAACATTGTAATGCTTTCATTTAGATGCGTCAATTTTATAGTATCTCTTCTCTACCGCCACTCAAACATTCAAGTAGTCTGCAGCTGATGAGAACCTGTGAGATAGAATGATGTCATTTTATACTGCAAATTTCGTCTTCCTTTCTTTATCGAAAATGATTACTATTTTATAGGTTTCCAGACCGTAGGTGTACGTATATGTCAAATCTTCTAATTCTCTAGAGAAAGCTCTGATGCATGTCAAAGATATAGTTCCCAAAATGTCACAAAGTAATTGTGTCTACACGATAAAGCGTTCAGAATGTGATGCATGCTATATAGGGGAGAGCAGTAGGCAGGTGAAGGTCAGAGTGAATGAACATAGACTTTGCACGAAACGTCCACCTAGAAATGAAGTAGAATTAAAAAGTCTTGCGAAAAAATCGGCTATAGCAATGCATGCGATAGACAGCGGGCGTAAGACTGATTTCGACAATGTCGAGATTCTTAGAAGAGCATTTCATTCCCATAGAGAAAGATTGACTTCTGAAGCCTTGCACACTTTAACCACATCAAATGTAGTGAATAGGAAAGAAGGTATAGACTTATAACCTATATTAATATCAGTAAAAAGTTTGAGTATTGTGGATTAGATCAAATTAAGTATTATAATAATATATATATATTATTGTATCCTTTAGTTCCTAGAGGAACATAGGGCTTCAGCTGCGCACCTCCATTGCCTTCGGTTTTCTGACAACTTTTTCACCCTGCTCCAGGTCTGTCCACATGCTTTCATCTCCTCCTCGCATGATCTCCTCCAAGTCACCCTTGGACGACCAACTCACCGCCTCCCTTTCAGGTTCCACTCGAGGGCTTGTCTAGTGATGTCACTTGATGGTTTCCTCAGCGTATGGCCAATCCATCTCAATTTCTTTCTGCCTATTTGTTTCACAATCGGTTCCTGATTGCTTCGCTCATTACCGGAGATCCCTGTTGCTGATCTTTTCTGGCCATCTGATCTTGAGTATTGAGCGGAGACAGCTGTTAATGAAGGTTTGAAGTTTGTTTGAGATGCTCTTTATGACTCGCCAAGTCTCTGATCCGTATAGTAGCACTGACTTCACATTGGAGTTGAAAATCCGGATCTTATTTTTGATGCTGAGTGCTGTTGACCTCCACACAGATTTGAGAGTAATGAAAGCTTGTCTTGCTTTTCCGATTCTGACTTTGATGTCCTCGTCAGTTCCGCCTGTAGTTGAGACGATGCTTCCCAGGTAGGTGAAGGAGGTTGTTTCTTTCAGGTTCTTCCCACTTATGCTGATTGTTGTCTTTTGTTGTTGTTGCTGTTGGCTAGGAATATTCATCATCTCTGTTTTTTCTATGTTCACGTGAAGTCCTATCTTTGATGCTTCTTCTGCCAACTTGTTGCTTTTCACTTGCATATCTTCCAGTTTGTGGGAAATCAGACATATATCATCGGCGAAATCCAGATCCTCCAAGTCTTTTGTGTCAGTCCATTTTATGCCTGTTCCCTCGTTGGTTGCCGTTGTCTGTCGCATTATCCAATTTACTGCAATCAGGAAGATCATTGGTGATAGTAGACAGCCTTGCCTCACTCCCGTCCTCATATATATATATATATACATATATATATATATATATATTGTTTGTTTTTATTTAACTGAGTAATTTTCATGGACTTTATTTTATCATTGTTAACCATGTTAGTTGTAAAGCGGTTGTAAAGAAACTACGAAATGATATCATCTCGCGAAATTTGTCTTCTTAATGCCTTGTTCAAATCACACATTTATGATTTGTACTCGAATATATAGTTCTTTTTTTTTGGCTCATTCATGTTTTGTGTGTGTATATGTGTTCAGAATTATATTCCACATTCATTCGTGTGCTTGTATTTAGAATTATATTCCAATATGGCAAAGTCTTATGAAGCAAGACAAACGAAAAAACAACAAACACTCTCTGAGCTTCCATGACATTTTAAAACATGTAGTATCATGTTTATCACATATGAATTCACGTATTTTTCATATGACAAATAACATACATACATACACACAAACTCAGACAAAACTAGTCTTTACAAATCAACTATAGAAGAGTGAACACAACAACAATTTGACATTATCAAGTATTGGTTTTGTAGTGATTTTGTAACCAGAAGGTCCTGGGTTCGAATCCCGGTGGGTTCGTACTGCTGAAGAGTCCCGAACCAGGACGAAACAGCTGTCCAGTACTCCCAGGTTTTCCAATGGTTCTCTAACTCATGTCAGCTCATGATTAAATCCTCCATGCAATCAATTTGACATTAGTCATTACAAATATATATGATGACTGCTTACATATTTCTATTGGTAAAAATGTCCATAGACAAATGACCTTCAAATAAACTGACTTCATTTTATGTAAAAATGTTGACTATATATTTTGATGATTAATTATAATCCGAATAAATCTGCTGAAGAAGCTGTGGCTTACACGGCGAAACGTTCAGAAAACAGATCTTGTTTTGATTTTCTCAACACGGTGGAATTAATTCAAATAATTTATAATGGATTACTATTTTAAGCTGATTCTTATCAGTTACCCTTAACTTCCTTTCAATTGCTCCTTTTTTTGTCATAAAAAAAGTGTGTTCAAATATGTATGCTTTAATGTAATTTATATTTTTCATATTGTTCAGGTGGTAATCACTTGACATGAATCCTCCAAAGAATAAATGATGTGCGTCATATTAGCCTGGTACACACACACACACACATAACATCAAATGACTTTGGCGGCCTGTTTGAACATTATGGGCTACCACATTTCATGTACATTTTGCATCTATTTACTCATTTTTTATTTTATTTTTTTATTTTTGATTACAGCTTGATTCCACACCGTATTTTTGGTACATGTATGGAATTTTCAGCGTGGATTTTATTGGTGTTTACACATCATATTATGCAAAGTAAATTAGATGCAATATTGTACCGAATGCTGAAAATTCCTTGCTGTATCATTAGTACTGTTTTTGGAATAAAGCAAAAATTATTACTATTATTATTATATTTGTCGTTCTTGTTTTGTTCAAATATGAATTTGTCAATTTGTCTACTTTCTCCTATTATGTGATAGTTTATACTGTACGAGGTCTATGCGTGTATAGCCGGTAGATAAAGGCAACAATCAGTTGATTAACTCTGATATCAACAAATTTGAAGTCTTCATGATATTAGATAGTTGGAGGCAATCAGCTACAGGGGAAGCCTTGGACAACCTAGGTTTCGTGGTAGTTGGCACTCACCACCAATCAGTCAGCAAGGTGTATCTGTGACCTTGAAGGAACTCATTTCCCTTCTGAGATCCGAACCCGTGTCACCCAGTGCAGTGCTTCAGTCAGAGATGAGGTTACCACTGAGATGTTCGGGCTCGCGATTGACCTCCTGTACGACTGTAGTGGGTATTTTGATTGGACACTAGTAACTAGTGTGATCCCGACCGAAAGCTGCTACCTTGACGTGGTGGTCGGGCTTGAACACCGCAATGACCTAATCAAGCTATACTGGCTGAGACTTATGTCTCTTGAGGTTCTACCATGCCAGGCAGGTTGTTTGGATAGCGGTTAAACAAAAAGCAGCTACCTCATCCAATACCATGATCCAAACAAATTCACAAAATTTCATGCCGGATCGGCCGTGGCCCGGATTAACAACGACCGCGCTTCCTGCTGCCGTGTCACAGGGCGGGAGTGATAAGTATGCTACTGAGGCACACAAAACAACGAAGAACGAACAAAAACAGGCCGCGTGTGACCGGCCACAAGCAGTTGTCCCCTGGGCTCTGCGGTCACGCAACCAACTTCCACGGTGTGGGCAGCCGGGAAGTAACAATCGCCCTCACAATCCAAAACGCACACAAAACCTCTCTAATCCTCACTTATCTTTGTCTTCATCTTCATCTCTATTACCTTGCCTTCCCCCCAGTGATGCAACTCCTCTACTTGATGGCTCCTCACTCCCTCTTCACTCTGTGTCCACTAAAAACGACGAAAGCCAAAAAACCACCACGGATAGTCTCCTAAAGCCACGCCACCAATTTCATATAGGAGCATTTAATGTTAGGACACTTTGCCAAATAGGACAACAAGCATCACTAGCTAAGACCCTGGCATCTCGAGCCATTGATGTATGTTGTGTTTCAGAAACACGCATACAAGACCCAAGTGTGGTTATTCACCTAACCCCACCTGGCCAACAGGATGAATCTTCAAAATTCACCTTGAGGGTGTCAGGAGATGCCACAGCTAGTTCACGGGATTAGCTGGCGTAGGGATAGCTCTGAGTACTAGGGCAGAAAAGACATTGCTTGACTGGATCCCAGTAGATAGCCGAATGTGTGCTGTCCGTCTGAACGGATCAGTAAGAAGGAGAAAGGACTGCACTACTCGCCGATGCCTTTTCGTAATCTCCGCCTACGCCCCCACTGACTGCAGTTCGGATGAAACGAAGGATGAGTTCTACCAAAAGCTGTCTAGTTTGGTGAGAAAGGCTAAACGCTCAGATATAGTCGTTCTAGCTGGTGACTTCAACGCTCAAGTAGGGAAATTGTGTCAATCTGAGAAGGATGTCGGTGGCACCTATGGAGTTCCGTGCCAGCGAACCGACAACGGTGACCGTCTCCTACAGTTCTGTTCAGATAATCATTTGTTTCTTGTAAGCACTAACTTTAAACACAAGGAGAGACACTGTTTAACCTGGCGACCCCCATCATCAAACCAACGCTGGACACAAATAGACCACATAGCAATAAGCTATCGTTGGCGTGGGTCGGTAGGAGATTGTCGCTCCTTCTGGAACACGTGTGTAGATACCGATCACGCACTGGTCCGGGCTCGTGTGTGCTTACGACTGAACGGACGTAGGAAACAGCTGGCGGTAAAACCATTACGCCCCCAGCTCGATCAGGAAACTAAATCCCTATTTGAGGAAGAACTAGCTAAACGCATATCTGAATCCGACAGCTGTGCTCACCCTGGAGAAGCCTGGAAGAATATTCAGTCAGCTATAGATACAGCTGTAAAAGCTGTGAATAAGACAAATCCAAAGGTGAGTAAAAACCACTGGATTTCGACTGCCTCATCCGAACTGATAGATGCTAGAAGACTTATTCCGGCGAGCTCCGAATTCAATGAGGAGCGAAAGCTGCACAAAAGGAAACTTACTAAAAGTCTCCGCAAGGACCGTGAACAGTGGTGGGTGACAAAGGCGAAAGAGATGGAAAAAGCATTGGCGATAGGCAACACTAGGCAACTCTTTAGACTCATCACAGAATCGGGCGGGAAAAGGCAATTCATAAGTGAGACTATTTCTGAGAAAAATGGCTCCTTAATTAGCTCTCAGGATAGACGCCTTGAACGCTGGAAAGAACACTTTGAGGAACAATTTAACTTGCCTACAGCCACACTGAACCTCCCCGCCATCCACCACGTACCCGAATGGGATATAGACACTGGTCCGCCGTCTGTAGGTGAGGTTACAAAAGCTATCAGTAATTTGAAACGAGGCAAAGCGGCAGGACCCGACGGAATTATTCCGGAGGTGTTTAAATATGGGGGTGACATACTAGTTTGTAGATTAACTGAGGTACTAGGCAAAGTCTGGGAATCAGAGACAGTACCATCAGACTGGGGTAAGTCACTCATTATACCGATATTCAAGAAGGGAAACAAGTCCTCGTGTGATAATCATAGGGGGATCAGCCTAACGAACATAGTCTCTAAAATCCTAGGCTCAGTAATCATGCATAGACTAAGCAGAACTCGGGAGGAACAGACAAGGGAAAATCAAGCAGGCTTTAGACCAGGTAGAGGGTGCATAGATCATATCTTCACTCTTCGACAGATTCTAGAACATAGACACACTTTTCGGCGTCCAACAATTGTCATATTTCTTGACTTGAAGGCGGCCTTCGACTCCGTGGACCGAAAAGTACTATGGCAATGTCTGACTGTGAAGGGAGTGCCAAGAAAGTACATTGCACTAATCAAGGCACTCTATTCAAACTCACGTAGTCGTGTAAGGGCTTATGGGGAATTGTCATCTGAATTAGTAACAACCAGTGGTGTCCGACAGGGATGTCCACTTTCCCCATTTCTGTTTAACTTCATCATAGATATGCTAATGGAAGTATCCTTAACTGAACGTAGTGACTTAGGAATCGACTTGTTACCAGGGAATAATCTAATGGACTTAGAATATGCAGATGACATAGTCCTGTTAGGGGAGGATGCTGACAAAATGCAGAGTCTTCTGAACACCTTGAGCAGCAATCTTCGTATGTTTGGCATGCGATTCGCCCCTGCAAAATGTAAGATGCTGCTACAGGACTGGACGACGTCAACCCCTAACTTAGTGATAGGGAGTGAAGTGATAGAACATGTTGACCACTTCACCTACTTGGGAAGTTGTATTAGCACCAACGGACTGATTGGCGATGAAATCTCAGCACGGATCCGAAAAGCTCGAGCTGCTTTCGCTGACTTACACCATCTCTGGCGTAGGCGTGACATCCGGTTATCAACCAAGGGACGTGTGTACTGCTCATCAGTTCGCTCCGTCCTTCTCTATGGCTCTGAAACATGGCCAATACGCGTTGAAGACATGAAAAGGTTGACTGCTTTCGATCATAGATGTCTGCGATCTCTGTCTCACGTTAGGTGGTTTCACAAGATAAGTAATGTTGACGTTAGGCGTAGAGTGTTGGGCAAAGAGGGAAAATCAATCGACGAGGTTATAAAGTTACATAGACTAAGATGGCTAGGTCACGTGGTGCGCATGCCTAACCACCGCCTCCCCCGACGGGCATTGCTAGCTGATATAGGTTCAGGTTGGAAAAGAGCCAGTGGTGGCCAAACAAAAACATGGCATCAATCCATGAAATCCTTGACAGTTAAACTGAGTCAGGTAGGGAGATGCAGACTCCCGGGTTGGGGCCCTCGGGACTCTAGGAATCAATGGCTGGAGACAATAGGTGACATGGCTCAAAATCGTTGTCAATGGCGCAGATGTATTCAATCTCTGTAATCTTTCATATTCCTTTCTACCATTACCCATTCTGTTTCACTCTTATATTTGTCAAACTCTATTAATTCTCTTCACTCATCTTCTTGTCTACCTCTGTGTGCTATTTGGAACGTGGCAACTCGAACTGGTGCACTTCGGTGCCAAGTTCTATGTTGAATCCAGACAGAACTAGTGTGATGTGTCTAGTCTTCTCATTGGTGCAGACTGAATTCTACCATTCTAGGTAACTCGGGGGTTTGAATCTCATAAGGGAAATGAGTTCCTTCAAGGTTGCAGATACGCCTTGATGACTGGTGGTGAGTGCCAACTAGCACGAAACCTAAGTCCAAAGTTTCGTACCGACTGCCTCCAACTATTTGAAGTCTGCCACCAATTAGACGCGTAAGATTGCCAACATGACATTTACGCCTGTAACCTGTAGGCAACTTATACATTCTCTGATTGGTAGATTCCAGTTCGTTGATATCATGGCTAATCAATCAGTTGATTATGGGCCTTTTAATTATTGCCACACTGTCAAAAAGTATGATAGATAGCTCAATTAGAGATAGAATATATGAGTTGTTTTTCTGCCTTTTCAGTCAACTATCTAGTCAGTGATAATAAATTCAGTGAGTCACGTGGAGAAAAAATCAATCAATGAAGCTTCAAATTATTCGGTTATCATATGTCAATCTTAATCAATCAATTTGCAGGTTACGCAAGTGAGCCTGTTAACTTTAACTACTCGGTTGATGGATGTGAATTAGAAAGCCTATTTTAATTCTAACTTCTACTAATACTCACTAGTGACTGACCGATTGACTTATTTCAACATAGAACTTTGCACAGAATACCAACAGTTCGAGCTGATACACTACATGAACCATACAAAGGAAGACAAAACAGAAAAAGAGATTTGAATGAACGATAATAAGTAGAAATATGAGGAAGGCGGGATAGTAATATGGAAAAACAACAGGGTTCCATAGGATATGGTAGACTACAAATAGCGAATTCATCTGGGCCACTGGCAACGAATTTAAGCCATATCGCCGGTTGCCTCCAGCCTACACATTAGTTCTTACCATCCCGAGGACCCCAACCAGTCAGGAAGTCTACACCACCCAAGGTTGGTTGACACGCTTAAACTAACTATTAAAGATTTCATGGACTGACACAATGTCTTGGTTTGATCATTACTCATTCTTTTCCAATCTGATCCATTGTATGTCAGCAAATATTGCCTGTCGAGCAAGGAAGGCGATGGCTAGGCAGGCATGCATAACATATGCTCTAATCCTCTCAATCGATGTAACTTCACAACCTCATCGATTAACTGGTCATCCTTACCTAACACTCGACACCTAACCTGAATATTATTCAGCCTATTATACCACTTAACACGAGATAAAGAATGCAGACACCTATGATCACAGACAGCTACCCTTTCTCTATCTTCCACTTTCAATTGCTGTGTCTCACGGAGCAAACTGCTGGGCAATACAGGCATCCTCTGACTGATGGTTGGCTTTCAAGTCTAAGTCTAGGATGACTTAAATTGGCTAATCTGTGTCAAGATTTCGTCAGCAGTCAGCCCGTTAGAGCTGATGCAACTTCCCAAATAATTGAAGTTGTCAACACGTTCCACAACTTCACTCTCTGTCTTTAAGCTTGGGAGTCGATGTAGTTCAGTCCTATATATATATATATATATATATATATATATATATATGGTTAGCAAAGAGACCTTGTAAGCTGAATCACCTTAGTCTCAAGTGAGGTGATCATGGAGGCGTTCCACCGGAATTCCATATCCGGACGAAATATCTGTCTACAATACTCCCCCGCCCCGGTTTTAAGTAGTTATCAAGTTAAATTTTAGTTTGTGATTAAATTTGTAATTATTCGAATCATTACACACTAACACTTGAAAAATAACTTCAGTGTATTAAAAAATTTATTTCGTTTGTTTTACTGAAAACTATAATAATAACAAATAATAATAGAGCACATGAATACTGATAGACATAGGATTTATAAGGTTTGACGAAATGTAAGCCGCGCCTACAAATAGTGAACATATATGCGTGTGTGTGTGTGTGTGTAAACGGTATA